ATTCACTATATTCATATATATGGAGAGAGAGACATAAAATTGTGAATGATTTCTGACGCATCGTTTGCTTGCATGTTTTATATAATTGTAAACTAGCAGCAGAGTTGGGTTTTTTTTTTAAGTTACAGAGTGTCTGAAGGTTTGTGATAAGGTAACATGAAGTGCATCCTGTACCAAGGCCAGGGCTTATCAACTTTAAAGCATCAGATATGCGTTCCTCTTGTGATCATGCTGCACGTAACCACCAAGATTCAGAAAATTCAGCCTGTTAGTTTACAGGCTAACCTTCCTTAGAGACAGCTTAAGCCATTTATCTGGCATCTGCAAAGCTAGCAGCTAGATGGAAACGATGCATCTTAACTAGGATGCTGTTCTAGTCCTGCTGCCAGACGTGTTGCAGTTTTACTGTGGCACAAGAAACATAATTAGCATATTATTCAAAAATGTTGCTGTATGCTAAGTCGAATTTAAAAAAAAAAACTCCATTTAACCACAGCGGGGTATATCTGCTGCACAGGCTGCCAAGATATTCATCAGATATATGGAGTCCTTTGTGGAGCCCCAGATATTGCTCAAGACAAATATCTGCCTGCTACGCTTACTGTTCGGTCTGAGCTGTTATGAAGTTATCACATCCGAACATCTGAGATGCATTCATCAGGAAGATTTAACATTTACGTGCAGATATTTCAGATCCTGGTTGACGTTTTATTTTCTGTACTTCAATTTTGAGAGCAGCATACTTTCTCAAACGCGTTTCACTTTATAAAGATGAAAGGTTTCAGATCGAACATGCATCGTAAAGCCTCTTTTGGAGGGCACTTTGCGCTTGGCAGGGTGAAAGGACACCGCCCTCCTTTGGATCGCAGCCTGTGCCTGCTGGAATAATAAAACTTTAGGTTCAGGCAATCACGGCTGACATAGGCTTTATGAAAGGATTTCACTTGCTGTCATTCATCCTCAGTCTGATGTTTTCTCTTTCATTACACATCTGAGCTGCTATTCACAAAGCCTCTCAGAACAGAAGTGTTGATCCGTGTGTGGTTAGGGGGAGATTTAATAAAATGTTCTTTCAGTTCTGGTAGATTCGCTCTTCTGTTAATCTACTATTCTCTGCAAATCCAAAGAATATAATGAAAAAAAAACACACGAAATGATGTCTGCAGTGTGGCGGCGCGCTAATACCTCTGATCATAACAGAAATACGCTCTCGCACGAAATATCCACACTACTGTTCACTGCAGCTTCTGACTCTCACATCAATTAAATTTAATTCACTCCAGTTCAAATCAGTGGCTTTTGTGATTGAATTTAGTCTCATCTCTGATTCATGACGGATAATTGGAGAAACTAATTGGAAAGCACTTATCACTCCGTCACTCTGAGTGCAATATTTTACCACGCTAATATTGCCGGTAATCTTTTGGACAAACTGATCCCGCTTCGGCAGCGCTTCGGCTCTGAGCGGCATTGTGAATTATTCAGAAATGCGGTGTACCATTTTCTGCTTGAAATCTGTTTTGTAGTCAAACTTCTGACCTATCGCGAGCCTCCCGGCACCTGCGGATGTTTTTCATGTAAGAAAAGGTTAAAAAAAATGTACGTATGAAAAAAATCATATAATAAATGTCTTTACTTTGAAATAAATGTACTTGATCTCAGAGGAGAGAAGTGGATATGCTTAAAAACCCACCTCCTTTGAATGAATGACTTTCAT